CCCCTGCCATTGCTACAAAGAATAACATAGCACTTAATGAAGTAAGAACAAATCGTGAAATCTCCCCCTTAAGATGAAGTTGAAAAACTGATGTTCTTTGCAGTCATAGCCTAACTCGTTTTTCCTCAGCAGAAGACCTTCTAGATCTTGTTGCTTTATAAATTTGGTGGTAAAGGATAACAAACGCACATATACAATTCATATACATATAGAAATATATATAGAATATATAGAAAATGTATATAGAAATATGTAGAAAATAGAAATATATAAAAATGTATAGAAATAATTACCACTGACCTGATGCATAGTGCAAGAAATCGTGCACATTTGTGAGCTATGCTCCGCCCAGCTTCAAAGAAGCAAACACGTATTACATCAGAGACACATTTACGTGTTTTAGAAAGCAAGCTATCATTTCCTTCCTTTGAGCTGTAAAAACAAGTTGCATACTTTAGAGAACGGTACAAAACTGGGGGGGGGGTTTTGGTGGTTTTTTTGTGGTGTTGTTTTGGGTTTTTTTTGTTTTAACAGAGCTGATACTGAGAAGTAGCCATGCCAATTTAAACACTACTTCTCTTACCTGCCAGGTCCATTTGAATACACTCCAGCCAGCCAACAAAGCGTGTCTAGTACAAGACTCTGAGCATGTTCTGTAGTCAGACCATCATCTGTCTTCTTACAAAGAGTGGTGAGCAGCTTCTCATGGAACTCTGAAAACTGTAACATGGCACACCGTTGAACTCTAGGGAGGAGGGGAAGGAAATGAAAACCAGAATTATCCAATACGGCCATTCTCCCATGAAAGTGTCCCTCCAGCTTTGTATCCTGTCTTAGGAGTGGCAAAAGAAAGATGTCTACATGAGAGTAAAACTAGTACATAAGCATATGTGATACTTTCTAGCACACATACCCAGTCTTTCTGTTTTCTGCTCACAGAACTTCTGAGGTGAGTGTATACTTACTGACCTTCAAGGAATTTTTATTAACTTATCTGGTAACTTCTAAACCTAAACAAACTTTCACCACCTACAACACTCTTTGGCAACCATTTGCACATACCTCTCTGCAGCCTCTGTAAGACCATTACATACAAATTAAATACTATATTATTTGTATTTAGGTCTGTACTACCAATCCATAGAGACTTTAACTGTTGAGTAAAAATTTGTTAGTTAAATTTGATTCTAAACTTTCTGACAAATAATGTATTCTCTGCTGTAAGAGACAAGACAATGTGGAAATAAAAAGATGTTTTCTTAAAAAAACCCAACCAAACAAAAACCAAACAAAAAAAACCCAAACAAACAAACAAACACCCAAGTCAAAAACCTGTCCAAATAATTTAGCTATTTACATTTGTCTTTTCCATTCAGGCAAATAATCACTCAACATATAATTTCATGCATGGTGTTATTCTACCACAAACTGCATAGCACAGTGCTCTCAAATTCACAATTTACAGGACTTTCCATATAAAACATGTTTATGAAATAACTTGAAACAGTAGTTTGACCTGAGCTATTTTGAACTACGTGTTTTATGGTAAGTGTAATTAAAGCTAATATCTTTTAGAATTAAAAAACACTTACTAACCTTTCTTTTGACATGTAAGTTTTTTTAAATCTTCGAATTGTTACAGATACTTCTTGAAGTAAGTCACAACCTCTCAGATTGTCTGATTTTCTTGAAGAATTAGTGGCTTCAATTTTGCTAGATGGCTTTTCCTGGTTTTTTGGGGAGGAAAAAAAGAATAATCATAAATCATGCTGGTTTTGACTGCTTCATTTGTATATATTGTTCAGAGAAATACACTCCAGTAAAATCTCACCTCAGTTTGAGCAGTGTACTAAAATAGACTACTTTTATTCCCTAATAGAGATAATCAAATTTAACAATGCTCTGTAACTTGTTATGTTCTAACCTTTCTAATAGTGTCCAAAAGATGTACATTGTATCACCCGATCTTACAATGATCAAGAGTAAAATACACACACACAAATACAGTCCTTCATAGGAGGATGAGCTGTATGCACTACTGAAAACACTCACGGAAACAGTTGTTTCAAAATCAACAGCTCAGAATGGGGAAGTGGCAGAACAGACCTTTTCAGCTAAATTTGCACAGAGAAAACAACTTGAGAGATGCTGAACTCTGATTCTTGATGTCTTAACTCTTAAAAAAGTAATTTTAATGGATCTTAACTCTCCTAACAGCTGCTTCATTTTCAGATTACATATATCATACCATTTCTACAACTTCAACACAGATATCTTTCTTGGCCAGTCATTACCTTGCCTGCTGCAACTTTTGCCAACAATGAAGCAAGGGAATGGCCCTTGTTAGTTTGAGGTTTGAGAGGTGGTATTCTAACAACTGGTCTAATACCACCATTGCAGATTTCTTCTGTTCCTCTGTCATTCACTGCTTTAACATGAATTAAGAATGAGCGGTACTTGCCACCAGCCATGCCTAAAGGGGGGGGGGGAAGAAAAAAAGAAAAGGGTGGGGGGCAGAGAATTTACATTGTTTACTAGGGACAAGTTATAAACAGATTTAATATTCACAGATATAGTGTAGAAGCAAAGCTCAGCTACAATAATTACAGTACTTGAGCATCAGTTTGCAAAGTTAACTTACTGTTATGTTATACAACAAAATTTGTCAACATGAAAATAAATACAAACCAAAGTCTGACTACAGAAGTACGCAACACACTTTACTCACACATACTTCATGTGAATAGCAGAATAAACTGGGTTACCTTTAACAAGCTTTGGACTTGTTAGAGTCAACATTCCAGCATGTCCTGATAGATCAAGTCCAGTAGCCAGCCATACTGGACCACAAAGTATATCTTCCTTGTGTTCCTCCAGGAATGGACACAATCTAAGACCTTAAAAAATATGAGTAATATGGACCTGAATTATTCATAATTGAGTCACAAAATCTGATCATTTGCATGGGTTGAAAATACACCATGTCAAACTCTGATCACTAAATACATGTCATGCTACATTGAAAAACTAACAGTTATATGAGGTTCACTTTTAACCATTTTCCAGTGAAATCAATAAAGGTAAATGACAGTTTTAAAAGCATTTCCAGTTATATTATTAGGATAATAGGTACATTGATTGGCTCAGAGCCACAAAATATAAAATGTGTAAAATAAGACTGTTGAAAGGACCAAAAAAGAAGAATCATAGTTCTGGAACTGATTTACTCCGACTATCAGTTTTTAGTCTCTAGACCTCACTCAGATCCAATGTGACTGCCTTTCAGAGTCACTCTAACAGATTTTGTGGAAGAATACTTGTTAAAAGGTTGTAACAACAGGCACAGCAAGTGTGATGCGGCCAAAAGTCAACATGACTAGTTATGAATTACCTACTAGCTGTTTATTGTTTTTGCTGGTTTACAGCAGCAATCTCTATGAAAGCCAGGTATGCAAAGAAAAAAAATCTATTAAAATTAGCTAAGGAAACCAAGTAAAATACTGCTGGAACAGAGTAAGAGTTTAAGGTTATAAAGATGATCTCTCAATCTACTTTATTTATAAATTCAAATAAATACTAATCTACTTTTAATTACCAAAACTCTCCAGTAGTTTGTTGTTTTGTGGGATGTTTTTGGGTGTGTTTGTGTTAAACTTTCAACTTCTACAGTAAACAGACCCAGTGAGAGAGGTAAAGAGGGCTGAGACATTAGTCTGTTTTAAATAGCTGAGATTTTTTTTGCAAAGAAATACCTGTGTATCATTAAAGAATAAAAGCAAGCTCATATTTTAAACAGAATGTAACAAATAAAACTTACATTGTGGTTCCTCTACATCCATATACTGCATTTCTTCATTGAATTCAACCAGTCCTGGTTTTCCATTTCTCTCCACTTCAGTATTATGAGCTGGAGATAAAGGAAATGTGATCTGTCTGTCTACTGCTGCTTCTAGAAATAAAAATATTAGCAAGATATCATAAACATTACTTAAGACTCACAGAAAACAGAAGTAGTTTTCATAGAAAATTCATCAGCTTCCTGCCCATGACATTGAAAAAGGGTAGGCAACAACTACAATGCAGTAACACTTGAGAGCATGGTGCTTAGTTGAGGCTCCCCAACCCTACAGAATCAAACAGAAAAAGACCTTGCCAAGGTTTCCTCGTGGGTGCTCTCAGCTCCCCCAGTCCCTTCCACACTGCCTGTGGACACAGTGGCCCTCCACCCCATGCTTTCTCCACCCTATCCATAACAGGAAAAAACCAAACTCTGCTACATTGCATGTAAGGAAGTAAAATGTCACTTTCTGAAAAGCTTTGTCATACATTATGATCAGTACACTGTACTGTAAAGCATCCACAGAAAGCAATCTACTTCACAGCCAAATCAAATGTCTTCGAAGAATTACTAACTCATGGAACTGTTTCCTGAGAAATATTTAATACAGAAACATTAAGGAAAATGTTTAGCTTTCCTTCTACTGTCTTGTTCCACAAGTGAAGTTTTTCAAGATTAATTCTGACATCCAGATCTGCATATACATTCTAAAATTCACGCTGAAAACAAAGCAGGTTCTGTTCAGAAGAGCAACATGCAATATCTGTCCTATTTTTCACCCTGACAGAACAAAATTCTCCTTCATGCTAAAAATCAAGGTTTTACTTCACACCTGTTGACAGCTGTCCTGCAGTCACAGCTACCACTTCCATTAAAACACTTAAACTATCTCGTATCCTATAAGAACACACTTTTCTCCAAGAATACTACTATGCAATAATATTTTATTCTCGGATAACCACCAGTTTATAAGATTTCTCCAAAAAGCATCTCCAGCACCCTTTTTTTTTCTCTTGTTAAACACTGGGAGATGATACAGAGTGAGAAGTTCTATGAAAGCCTGTCCATGACCTTTAGTATGCCCGTATTCCTTCTTAAAATCTAGAGCACTGTTACCATTGTTTAACTGGAGTGCTCTTACTTAGCATTTAAAAAATAGGAAAAAAAAAAAAAAAAAGAAAAAAAAGAGCTTTTATAATTGCTTGCTGTTCTCCCCAACACATTTTATATCCAGCTGCCAATTTAATAACATGTGACAGCAAGATTTCTCTGAAACACTGGGTTCCTAGAAGGTTTTCAAAAAGAGGTGTCCAGATAAAGATAACTAATAAATGCTTCAATAAAAAGAAGAGCTGCATGTAATACCTTCCATCCCTAGCAGACAAGGCAGCAGGACATGCAATGAATGCTCACCACAGCAAAATCCCAAGGGAGGCACAAACTCTTCTACATCAAAATGACTTTTCAATTTATGCCACCCCCTCATAGGTTCTCTGAGAGCTACTAAGATGTGGAGATCTTACTTGGGAAGACTCCTGGATCTAGCTAGGAGTCCTCCCAAGGCAAGAGCATTCATAACTTTGGTCTATGCTGTCAAAACTGCAAGAAACAAAAGGTAAAATCATACTGCAGCTTTCACATAGCTTAATCAACGAGCCAGATGATGACAGAATTCCCAAGGAAACCAGTTATTATCTACTCCTATCAAAAAAATACTTGCTGTTTTCTCTTATGCATCCAAGAGGCACTGGCAAATAATTTCCTTCTGTGATTTGGAATAACTTATTATAATATTTCTAAATATATCAAGAACTTTAAAAAGCACCATTTGTTTCATCAGTCAATCTCTAGGATGATTTACAATTATTTAATGACTAGAGGATTCAAGCTGTACAGAATAATAATTCTGTTCAACCTTTTCAAGCTATGCATTTTTTGTATAAAATTCAGGATTTTGAAACTGTTTACCCAGTTTGTTTCTCCAATTTACATTCAAATATGAGGAGTGAAAACAGACCATGATGCTGAAGAAAAGAATAAAATGGAAACAAGTAAAACCAACATATACACACAATTTTTAGCAATTCTTCTAATATACATCACAGAGAATAAGTTTGAAAAAGAGATAATCTGAATGATATCCAAGTTCCTTCTTACCATTGACTTTCCCTAAGCCTGGAGCTTTATTTTTCAGTAAAGTCACTTGAATCTGGGGAATATTTGTGATGTTTGAATTCAAAACAAATTTGAAGTCCACATGTCCGACCATACAGGCTTTTGGTAGAACAAGTTCAAAGACATGCTCATCCCAGCTGTTGCTGTCAGGAAAAGAAGACAATGACCCAGTGTTAAGAGAAAATTCAGATTGAGCAGGCAGCATTACCCAGTGCATTCTCTATCTATGCACACTTTCTTTAACAAGAGAAAAAAAAACACAAACTTAGACTGCACTGGTTGACATCCACATGAATTTCTTAGGTAAAAGTCTTTCAGGCTGCAGTTACCCACATTCATTTTGTAAACAACATGTCAAAAGCTAACTAGTAAGAGAAAGCAAACCAACATTCAGATAAAAGTAGCAATGAAAAGATTCCCTATTACCCTCATTGCAGTACTATTTCCATATTACTATAAATACCAGTTACTTTTTTCCTGGAATGATGCCCCAAAGGAAGTTTTGAGTATCTCTCAATAGGCATGTATGGAATAATGATCCTCCAAGAAGGTCTCATATTAATCCAACAGCGAAGAGATCTTTTTATACTTGTTATACCTGTGGCAATGAACTTCACGATCTAATTCTGTGATGAGTGAAAAACTCCCCTTCAAGCAGCTTTTTAATTTCTCATAGCTCTGTTTAAGTGCATCCTCTTTATTTGTGTGTAAAGTTTCAAATAAGCAAAAAAATAATTTACTTGCTTAATATTTTCACAGCATTTTAGCATATCCATCCTTTATATCACTTTTCTCTGATACTCTAAAGCAAGTTCTTTTAGCAGCTTTTCTCACCTTTGAAACCATTCTATAGCACCTTTTTAAAGAAGAATACACAATCACGACTGTTCTAAATGCAAATACACCATCATTCTCACAACTACAAAATATTTTCCAGCACACTTCTTCATTCCTTTTCTAGAAGATCTCATCAATGTTTGATCTTCCACTACAGCTGACCTTTGAGCTGCAGACCCACTCCAAGTTTAAACACTGGAAAACAGATCAGTACCTAGCTCCTCTTTCTTTCATATATTTTCAAGTACGTCTGCATTAGGTGAAAACAGAAAATATTTCCTATCTAAATCTGAGAAAACCCAGAAACTCAGACACTACTGTTTTATCAGAGCACATTAGGAATTCACATACTTTTTTATTTTTTTAAACAAGATTAATCCAATTTAACATTTCAATTAAATTACTACTGAAGGGGAAATATTTTGGTAATTCACAAGGTAAACCAGACTCTGCTTTTTCTGTTTTCTTAGTTACACATCCTTTTTAAAATAACAAAGTAGGATTGAGAGAGTGCAAGTGCACTAATATAAAGCCATTCCCTAAAATACATTTACAGGATTATCTCCTATGTATTTGAGAAACAAAAGAATTACCATATCAAATCGCATTACTCATCCATCTAACCCTGTAATCCCACATCTTAATAAGAATCAGTATGAGACACTCAGAGGAGATAAAATGAACTTTATAATAAGGACCAATAAAATAATCCAGAAATCAAAAAGTTTCTTCCCAGATAACTTTCAATTAAAAGGTAATGTTGCTCTCAGTCTTAAAATTGTATATTCTACCCTGTGAACAAAAGGACTGTAATTTAATCATTTTCATCATGAGTCACTTTTAGCAGCTGTCAAAGATTTCCAATACTAAACCAAAACTTGTAACTTTACCTCTTTACATTCCTGTTTTAATTGCAGCAGATATAATTCTTTTCCTCTAATGAAACCAATAGTCATACACTAATGTTCCACCTATCATCTTCTAATTAATAGCTATTACTTGTTTGCTTCCCTATATATTCATATTGGTAGCTTTTTACTTTTCAGGTGTTACTGAACACACTGGATAATCAGTAGTTTGAACTGGAAGTTATTCTGGAAGGAACCACCTCCTTTCCACTTGTTACTTATAGGATATTTTACTTACACAAAGATAAATAAAGATTTGAAAGCCTATAATGCACTGCAAGTTTTTAACTGTCGCTTATGAACATTTAATTAAAGGAACTTCAGCTCATGTTAGACGTCAGTCACAGAAATACCTGCAACAATTACCTTCTAGACCCATTTTCTCACCTTGAACTCTCTGTTATCACATGCTGTTCCCCCCACACATGATGTCTAGCTCCCGTATAATCCTTTGGTTATTTCACTGTTTCCACTGTATGGGCATTCAGATTATATATCTCTATGCAAATCCTGTACATCGGTGAGACAGACAGCTGACAGCCTGACCCAAAAGATCTTGTAGTGCCCTATTACATGAGTCCCTTGAAAAAACACACAACGCAGCTTCTATCTATATTTTGTTTCTCTGAGCACTTCTTAGAAGAACTATGCAAAGCTACTTCAGGTAGGTTTTAAACAACTCTTCAAGACCACAACACTGCTGTTCTAGTCTTTAGGTTTCCAGAGGAACTCCAAGTTCTCAAGCTACATGTAAAAAATTAAGTAGTACTACCCCACACCATGTTGGTGTAGTTCATTTCAATGAAAATATTGCCTGAATTTTAGCACAGCTAGTGCTATATACCGGCTTAAGTAAATGACTCATGTATAAAGGCTTAACTTGATGCAAACAGATGTAAATCCAGATTCTATCTTCACATTTTTAAATAAATTACAATACAATTTCATTTAGGACAACTCATTAGTCACACATAATGAAATGGCAACATCTGGCAAACAAAAATAGACAAGTTAAAAACTTGATTTTTCAATTTGTCTCAAGGTCCATTGAAACAATTCTGTCAATCTCACAAAGACCTATAACACAAACTACCGAAGAGGCATTATTATCCTTCAAAGTACAAGTTCTTAAACTTACACTTAAAAACTATCAAATTGCATGAAATCAGTGCTTAAATCCACTATACAAACTGGTTAAGCAATACTCATGTGATTCTTTCTGCATCACTACCTACCCACCTGTCTGTCTGGAGCTTCCAAGTTCGAGTATGCTGAGCTGCATCCCCATGGTGCTGCTGGTGCAAGTGCTGAGGATGCCGCCTTTGCTGCTGCTCTTGCTGGACTTCTACCCAACAGGGAGGGACAGTGGCTGAAAACCGTGGCGTCAAGGTCTCAAAACGGGTCAGTTCCACCAGGGATGACAATGTTTCAAGGGAAAATGGCTGGTCCACCAAAAGATCAACACCTGAGTAATTAAAGAACATACATTAATTGCTACACGGATACTCTTCCCAGAACAGTTTGAAATATAACCAAACTGCTACTGGTAAAATTAACTACATGTTATATGAAGTTTCTAAAAAAATGAAGCAAACCAAAAAAACAATTACAAACCCCACCCCAATAACAAAAATACCCAAACACAAAAACATGATGATAAAAAAACCCAGACACAAGCCACTAAACAACTCCAGTCTTGAAGCCAGCATCCTTTGAAGGCAGCTCATTTGGAATAAAATTTCTGAGAGCTCTGAGCATGCTGTCTGGGATTCAACCAGAAGCATCAGGAAAAAGTAATTAGCCAGCTACACTTTGATGATGTAAAGCTGATTAAAACATTCCTTTAAACACCTCTATTGACTCAGATTAAAAAAATAAATAGATTTATATTTCTGGAAAACAGACTTTGAATTATGCAATTGTAAAATTTTTATCACTGTTTAAAACATTGCTTTGGCACCTGCTTATCAATATATACTTGTTTTATGGTGGGTTACTAGAATGCTTTGGAAGACTCCAAGTTTAGCTTAAAAGAGGGGTAAGTGAAAAACAAACATGTTTTATATAAGGCACTTGAAAGACACTAGACCTAGACAAGTATTTTGCCACCTTCTCTTCATATTCAAGTCTTGTACTGAGGAAATAAAAATGTTAACTGAAGAAATACTCAAGATTAAAATATCCCAGGGAGACAAACACCTAAAGAAATGTTACAAAGGAACTCTAAAAATAATCAGGTGTCCTCAGACAAAAAAAATTGAAAACTTGAGGGAAAATAACCTATGCACATTGCCAATCTTCCTGTATTTTGAGTACTTTCTCTTAAAAATGTATTTTGGAAAAAAATAGTCAGGAAAACTAACATTCTTTTTCAATTTGCTTCTAAAAAAAAGCATTATTTTAGATCCCTTCACCACAAAAAACCCTCCACTCCTTAAAAGGGAAATAATAATTTCAACCTCATCAAAAATTTACAACTCAGTACAGTTAACGTATTTTCTTCTAAAACAATACAACTTAAAATGTATCCAAGTTGTAAATTCTATTTTCTAGCCTGAATTTAAGAAATGCATTCCAGAATACCAACGATAGAGAAAAATAAATGCACAAACAACAGCCACAATATATATGAAAAATATAGGAACAAAAGGTTGTGCTTGTTACTGTGGTTTCTCTACTGACCACAGCATCTTTAAGCTACGGCTTCGGAGAACACCAAAGCGATTTCATAAAAACACCCTGCTGCTGCCTGCCATCAGCTGTGAACAAGATATATAGATCAAGACTTGATGCTCAGTCAGATCTGCCTAGGAGTTCATTTCCTCAAACAGAAAGCTTTCTGATGAGCTATGTCTCTGTCTGAAAAACATGTTAAGATGACAGCTGAAGAAAATTTTTTTTTCTTCTGGTTGGGACTTGATTAGAAGAGGAGCAACACTGATATTACAGATGTTGGGGGTTATGTCTGCTCGTGATCCATACACATGCTGGCAGCTTCATAATATATAAAATGTTTGCACAGTCCTAGCCATCATTTGCACATTCTATGCTAAGAGTCCAGGATTACTGACTTTAGTATCCTTAACCCGGACAGCTCAGACTAAGAACTCTGCATCTAGCATTTGGTTTCAACTCTTCTTGCCAGTCCCCTCATTTCAGCACTGGCTTCCTACGATTGTTAACCTTCTCTCAAAGCTTTTAGTGGCTCAGTTTGATGCCACAGCAAAACAGTACTCAATCTATCTGATCATTATTGTGCATCTAACAGCTCCTTGGAAACCATTACACACCAAGATCAAGCAATACTACATTCTCTGAATTATCTAACTGCTTAAAGGAGGACCTGAAGCTAGTAGACAATCTAAAGATACAGCTACTTTGAAGTCTATACATAAGTAAATCCCTTCCTTATTCCAATAACCCATAATCAAGCTATACTGAAGGCGGTGGTTTTCTTCTTATTTGTTTGGGTTTTGTTTTAAATCAGGAACTGCTAAAATGTTATGTTTGTACATAGCCAGTGGTAGACATACAGTAACTACAGAACTCTAACCCGGGGCAGCAAAAAAATATAAAGCAACATGTGATTAAATAACTCTGAATCATCTCAATACGCAACTTCCAAAAATTACAAAAGCAATTTTACTTATGATACACTTAAACATGTGCAACTTACCTGTAATGCCTGGACTTGAAGGATTAGATAAGGGCTTGGTGCCTTCTGAGGACTGTTCTACACTTTTGGAAAGGGATCCATCTACAAGTATATCAGCTTCATCTATGTCATCACAGGTTCCTCCAATCTGAAGGAAATGAAGTTCTCCACCTAAAATCATCACAGGCAACAAAAGAAGAAAGTTTAGACAGGCACACAGTAATACTCAACTCACAGGACAGGTTTTGCAGTTAAAAGTGCTACACAACTATGATAGTAATGCAGGACCTGAAATCAGTGAGATTATACAGGAATACTCATTTTGCTTTACTGCTACAATTTTTTTCAGGGTAAATGCAAAACAGAACTACAAAAATGCTGACTGCAGTTCTGATTGGCACCAAAAAAAAATAATTGACGTGAAGAGGGGATTAGAAAGTAGTTAATTAAGGAAAGCTCAGTAAAACCCAAAAATCATAACCATTCCAGTCACTTCCCATAACACAAATTATCCCCTTAAACAGAAAGGAGTCCATCATGTCCCTACACTACTTCATTTGTAAGGTTGCATAAATTTCCTTTTAAAGTTCAGTATTTGAGAACTGAAAAAATCACTTCCCCTCTTTAACTCTCGTAACTAAGGGGCTCTTCAAATTATTTCATCAAACTTGGAATTACAACGCTGATCAGGGCAACAGTCAAAAGAGCAAGTCCAAAATTTGCTAAGGACAATATGTTTTGATGGAAGCTGGAATGATGGACACCATTCAAGGAAGTTGCCCATTAGTCACCCCTACAGATATACATAGATGAATTCTGTCATTTACAGAGAAGTCACCAAGAAGGAATGTTCTATTTTACATAAGGTTGGGGGGAAGGGCTATTCACAGTTTTAGAAGTTACAAAAATCCTACTCAGTACGATTTAAATAGAGAGGAAAATCCTAGGGTAGGCGTTCCATAGCTTTTACTGAAAACTGACTACAGACTGACCTTCAGCACCTGAATACCATTATGACAAACCCTGTTATGCAAATTCTCCAAGTAATCTGAAACAAACTTGAGATAACACACCTAATAATAAGCCAAGATAAAAGCATAATCAGGAGGTACATGTTCTGCACTGTGAGGGCTGAGTAGAGCAAAACAGCGATAGAGAGGCACAGCGAGGCAGAACGAGCATGTGAGAGGCACAGAAGACACCCAAAAGGCACAGAGAGAGCTGGTACAGGGTTGGGGTTTTTTTGTTTGTTTCTCAGTAAGAAAGGCCTGACAACAAATGGCTTAATAGAAGAGCCAGGAAAAAAAAAAACCTGAATAAAAAGAGGAAAATAGTAGCTTTTAAGCTACTATGACCAAAATGGACAAGATCTGTGCACTGTGGGAAAATCCACCCAAGGTCTGGGCAACGCTGCACGAAAGCAGAGCTCTTGGCTACTGAAGGAACCTGAGATTTCCCCACTATCTGTATTACTCTTTTTACTCTTATCTGATTAAAACAGCTATTTCATTAAGCTATTAAGCCATTTGTTGGTGAGGCCCTTCTCACTGAGATGCCGTAAGAAGCCTGTACAACACCTATCTCCACCCCAGGTCACCCAACTCTGGTACAGAACAAGTTCCTAGAATGGAAGGGAAAAAAAAAAACATAGTTCTAACAAATACCAATGAGTTTCTCTGAAATTAAACTGCTCACAAATGAGCAATTTTCCTTAATGAGAATTAGGGACACGTTAGAAAAAAACAGACTTTGACAGCTTCAGCTGCTAATAACCCAAACCCCAGTTGGTTTGCTGTTCTGTTTACTGCTCAAGGATCAACGATCAGAATAATCTCAATGATCAAAACCAGATAATCTCCTGTCCTGAAAATAAAGTACACTCTCATGCTATGGAAGCTCAACACATTGAATTGCACCATCTGCCATTTTTATGACTCTCAGCAAGAGAAATGCTAAAGAACTTCAGAAAGCTGTGGGCTTTCCTAAAGAAAGTAATGCTAAGGTCTCACTTATTCTGTGGATGGTTGGGTAGAGTTTGCTTTTGAAGAAACAAAACCTTGGTCCTCAAACCAAATTTCTGAGTGTCTGTCACTAATTAACAGCAGCAAAAACCATCCCATACTACAAGAGGAAGAGAGTCACAATGCCTACATTCCTGAAAGATTCCACCACTTTTCCAAGAAAAATTCTGTGCTCAACTTGACATATCCCACTTCTTCATATTTGTTTTAAAAAAGCTTCTGTAAAGAAGTTTATCATGATCTTCAGTTATAGAGTATTACACTAAAAAATTCGTAGTGCTCATGCACGCTTTCCAAACTGCTGCAGGAGGCTTTGCTTCTGTATCACAAAGGAGGCATTTGCTCTCACAGAACATCCAAAGGTGACCTTCTGATGACACATACTCGATTAGTTGTCTCAAAGATCCCATAGTTCCTACAGTCAAGTGCCGGGGTGGGGGAAAATCTCTTCAAAAGTCAATGCTGCTTTTTGTTTGGTTGGGATTTTTGGTTTTGTTTTTGTTTTGGTGTTGCTACTGGCTCATGGGCTGCAGTACTAGGCCAAAACAGTGACTCAATCTGGCGCTTTCGAATTCTAGCCATTTAGCAAACATCTTAAGTAGTACTTTATCTGAAAACTTCTCTGCTCGTGTCACTTTGACAGAGACAATAATGCTTTTGTTGCACTACCAAGAAGATACGAAAGCTGCCATTGACTTACTCAATGATCACAAAGAGTTATTGGAAACTAGCATCATTATACTTCCTGAAAAAAAAAACCAGGTAACATTCAAAACAGGCTAACAAAATTTGGGCTGTTCAGCCTGGAGAAGAGAAGCTGCGTGGAGACCTCACAGCAGCCTTCCAGTATCTGAACGGGGCCTACAGGGATGCCAGAGAGGGACTCTTCATCAGGGACTGCAGCAATAAGACAAGGGGTAATGGGTTTAAACCCAGAGGAAATTTGGGTTAGATATAAGGAAGAAGTTCTCTACTGTGAGAGTGGTGAGGCACTAGAACAGGTTGCTCAAGGAAGTTGTGAATGCTCCATCCTGCAGACTCTTCAAGGGTAGATTGGACAGGGCTTTGAGGAACCTCGTCTAGTGGTAGGTGTCCCTGCCCATGGCAGGGAGGTTGGAACAAGATGATGTTAAGGTCCCTTCCACCACAAACCATTCTATGATTCTGTGATTGTACAATTAATGTAGTTCTGAATTCTACTTAAAAACTGTAATTTTCTTGGCCTCAAAACCTGGTGTGTTATACAAATAGAACATAAGAATCATAAATCCATCCAAACAAATCTCATGCCTCCTTTTGGCAAAACAGTCATTGGTTCCAGGAAAGCAGCACTGGCACAAGTTAGAGAACATGTCAGAGACCAGGCCGCTGCAATCAAAGCCGATCTGGTAAAATGTTCAGTCTCCTACACGTATCATGCACTCTGGCAGGAGTCTGAATAGTGACACAATTGTTGACAGCAAATCACAACACAGGGACATAGTTCAACAATACCCGAATAGTTAAAAGAATTAAGAAAACAAAGCCATACCACAGGAATCTAGCCCCTAAACAACATACAGCTCTCCTCAACTCAACACTGGGCTGTGGAAAAAGGGTTAGCTCTAAACATATTAGTGCAGAACACTTGAAAAATGTCCTCGAGAAAGCTTGCCCAGAACCTCACTCCAACAGAATTTACGCTATTCTTGGAGATTTCACCTGTACAAGTCCATCTCAGCTTATGAAAAAACAGAATACGACTGAACAGGGACAAGTGAAAGTTACTATGCCTAACAAGAAATAATTACACACACGATTATGGGATGAAGGAAAATCAGCTAGCCATCAGTTCTGTAAAAGAGGCTCTTGTGAGTCAGAAGATAAACCTGATTCAATTTCCTCCTCAGAAGTGCAGACATTCCACTACGTTTACGCACATAAGGTATGTTCAGACCGCTAAGGAATTCTTCTGTTTCATTCAGAGACATCTGTAGCATTACTGTGCTTGGTTTTGGGTATCTTGTCAAGAAACACAAAGACTGACTTGAGCAGGTCTTTTGGAAGGGGTTGCGTTTTTTTGTTCAGTTGGTTGGTTTTGGTTTGTTGGTTTTTTGTCTTTCAAAGTCCCTGAGGAAAGTTTAAAAGGATTGGAGATACTCGGCTAAAGAAAAAAAGTGGTTGGAAGACCAATCTAAATAAATAAAGCACCTAAATAAACAGTTGTATTCTCCTCCTTTTTCAAAGCAATCTTTTTGCCATGTTCATCAAGCACAGTACAACCCTAATTACTCCAATCATCAAAGATGACATAGGCTAAACATTAGGAAAAAGTAATCATCATCAGGATGGCCTGCAGTAGCAGAGATTTTTGTGAGTAGTCTGCTAAATCTCCATGTTGAAGATCTTGGAAAACAGGCTATCAGTACTCTGCTTCTGAATGGGTATGCGTAACTGATCCTGACTTGAAGATGATCTCTTAGCATCACTTTCAAAGTTAACTCTGATCTGGAAAAAACTCAACGTCTCCCCAAACCATCAGACTCCATTGCAACGAAAGCAGAAAACTGAAAACACTGCATTGATTCCTGAACTTCAAACACACCAATATTCAAAGCCGACAAAGCCTAATGACATGGAAGAGACAAGTAAGATACCCAAACAAAACCAGAAAAAAGCAACAGAGTAATTAATACACTATGTACAATTCAAGTGCAATAAATCTGTTATAATTGAAAGGTACAAGACTTGGAGGAATCAACTCTAAAATGTATGCAAGTGCCATCCAGTTCTGTCAGGCTTGCAACAAGAATAATAGGACAGACAACTATCTCTTGACATACCAAGCTCCAGTCTGAAAAAAACCCTTTCTCCAACAACGGGGAGACTAGAAAAAAACCTCTTGTTATAATGTAACACTCAACACAGACTTCAAAAAACTAGATATGCGAAGAAAATGGTTTGCAAATTTCAGGTGAGCACAACTGAGGAATGCCTCACTTGCTAGAAGGAACTCAAAGGATTCAAACAGATCATACAGATTTTAACATCTACTAAGATAGTCTGGATAGAAAGTACCTGCTTCACCACAACATCCTGAACATTTCCACTTCCTGTGGGATTTGTTTGAAATGCCACCTCATTTTCCTACTTGATGACATTTCTTCAGAGAGCTTCAGACACTTGTTAACTTGACAAGAACATCAGTAGTGATAAAAGACAGAAAACTTAACAATTCTTAATGAGAATATTCCCAGAAACACAAGAATGCACAATTTCCAAAACTGCCAAAACAAAATACAAGCAGAGATTTGCACCTTTAACTTATATTTTAAAAAGAACATTACAGATACGTCCATTTTCCATCTCATTCCATGTTCTAAAGCAAAGCTCAACAAAATTGCCTGAATGGCAAACACAGCTAAGTAGCTAAACTAAGGAGACAACCCACAACAAACCCAACAAAAGGAAAAACTGGAATGTGTGCTGTGGACTGTTTTCTTAAGTAATTTTTTGCAGGACTGTAACTAAAAAAGAAATCTAATTAGATGAAATCTGAGATACAAAAAAGGCATTGACAACTGCAGCTCTGGGAATTTATGCATCCAAACAAAACTTTATCTAGTTCTCTTAAGCACCAGAAAACTGACTTCAAATATCACCAGAAGAGCACCCTACAGCTGTGACACTATTCAAACCATACCTGTAACCTACTATATAGCTGGCACCTAAAGATGACATTTTGAAGTGGGAAAAGAATAATTATTCACAACTCACAAAGATGGATGATGTCTAATGTAGGTCTAAAACATCTTTACATAAAACCACTCAAAACCTGAAACACCCGTTCACACAGAGGTTTCTTTTCAGTTCTATCTTAAAGGCAGCTCTGGAAAAAATGATACAATCAACAAAGGAAAATAATACACCAACAAGATATATATAATTTCTGTCAATATCAGGGAAAAAAAAACCCCAAAACAAACTGTTGTACATCCAAATCTTTCAGACATGAATGTATCTCTTCACCTATTCCCATCATCCAAGCAAGTAAACATGAAAGAATATAGTGCCCAGCTTATACTCTTTAGTAGTTTTCCAACATCCAATCATTTCCGGTGCATGCATGTTCCTTATCTTATACTTAACATTTTCACTTACGTCTTTCCACTAGAAGCTCCTTGCTAGAAGGATTAACTTCAAATACACCAGTGATTGCAGCTATTCTACTTTCAACACATATCTTCCTAATGCTGTCAGACTACAGGCACTATTTCATATGTGGTAGAAAATATAAAGGAGCAAAGACCTCAAAGTGATTTTGCAAGAAGCACAAGAAAACGGGGGGGGGAAGGAGAAAGAAGAAAAAGAAAATAGAAAACTCTCTAGCCACTTAGCAGGTAAGTGAGCAATTTTACCCACTTACAGCAGCAAGATTAAAGGATGAATATGATTCAACAAAACAGAAATTATGCAAACCCAATTCCTTACATTATTAAAATGTGCAATAATATATAGGAGGAAAAGTTATATTAATAGTTGACCTTTTTATTTGCTTTTTCTTTCAGTATTCCTGAATCTTATGCAGTACAGTTATTTATAAACATTAAATATCAAGTCATTCTTTACAAAGCTTAGTGTTTTGGCATAAATGTTAGGACTCTGAGGCTTCAGCTGTATCTAGCATCAGACTCTGAAATTCAGACTTATAATGTATTTTTATGGACATAAATATTTAATCCCTAAATATTTATGATGGCTCAAAAGTGAGGAAAATTAGACTAGGACAAGTGACTGATATGTTAAAAATAAAGAATAGAAAAGAAAAGCTTCTAAAGACATTTAAACAATGAAACTAATGAATTCTCAAGTTAATTCTAGTTTGGTTGCAGAGCAGAAAATCAAGTTCTAAACAGAAGTGCAGTGGGTGTAAATGACAGATAAAAATAATCAATGTATTAAAAAAAAAAGTTATCAAGGTACTATATTACAAAGAGGAAGCTTGAGGGCAGAGGGATACCTGTGACACATAGGACTACAGAAATAAAAAAACCAAAATCACCTCAAAGGCAGCACAAACAAAAGAAGTCACAGCAAAGCTATTTATAAATTACTAGGTGGACATCATAACACCCTCAGAGGGAGCAAAACACAGAGATATTTACTGAAAAAACATAATGATGTGTTTGTCTATTATGAGGAAGATGAAGTGTTCTCCAGTCAGTAACAGAGGTGGTCGTGACAAATACTCCTACACACACAGAATAAATGCTCCCAACTCAACAGACCTGCATATCTTGCACTCAAGTTCCCAAACCAGGTTTAGGTAATACCAAAAGCTACAAGAATATAATTCCCATACATACATACTGTACGGGAAAGTACTCTGCACAGTAACAGTAAGTCCTTTAACTTTTACTGTTACTCTTAAACGACAAGAAAGACAGAATAGATTTGATGTAAGAAAGAAATGAATTGTAGTACAATTCTGTAGAAAAAAAAAAACAAACAACCAAACAACTAGCACAGTTTGTTGGTTTTTTGGTTTTTAAATGAGATTGCAGTTTGATCAGCAAAGTATAGGCAAAAACATTATGACATGTATATGATACACTAACAGTCTTCAAAGGCTATTAACCTTTCAGTTTGAGTTCCATTTTAACTAGGAAAAAGAGTGCATTATTAGATAAATCTGAAACAGTTTAATAAACATTTCTTCAAAGCAGTTACCAAAATAGAACAATTTAGCAAATATGGATCATTCCACTGGGAATCTGCAAACATAAATTCTAGTTGCTAACATGTGATGTTTTCATCCGTACTAAAAAAGCAATGTAAAATTTCCACCACTAAAAACTCTTGGTAGTAGGTAAGTGATTTAATTGACTTTATCTTTTGAAGGTAATAGGTAAATCTGCGTTAGCAACTGCTTATAGGACTCTGTAATCAACATGACACCACCATGAAAAAAGGAAATGTGCCAATATAAATTCTTCTAGTAAAGTTCAACACGATATTGGTGGGAGTTCATTTGCAATGTGAGAACCACCCCATCAGTTTAACCCCTCTGAGAGGTTAAGCATTTCCACCAGAGCTGCATTCAAGCGCAGGAGAGCTGTTTCCACTGTCCCTGTGTGACACGGAACTGAGAGGGGTGTGGTGGTTTATGGTCTTCTACAAAGTAGCAGCTGCCTGGACCTGAGTTATACTCCCCTCCGGCCTGCCGCCTTCCCTCGAAATGTCTCATGTTCCTTATGAAAAAAGATCTAACAACCCTGCACGGACAGTCTGACTTTCACACTTCGAGTATAATACCAACTGCAAAAGGCTGAAGCAGAACCAGCAGCCCTATGTGAAAGAAGATACAACTGACCACTGGAATAAGGTATAAAAGTATTATCTTCTCTACCCTCTTAAATATCGCCAGTTACAGACAGGAGGCATTTTTCTGAAATGTATCTAGCACAGAAGTAATTGCATATAAGAATAACTTTTATTTGGTTTGGATTGAAGAAAATCTGTGCCTCTATGAGAACAATTTACCAGTACACTTGATATACCCAGGAGTTACTCCCATTCCAGAGATTAAAATCTACATTTAAGATAAGGAATTAATCAGAGTTCATGCTCCCTAGAACAGACTCAAACTGTACAACAATTCAACGGAATTTACCTATTACTATTTTGAAATTTAGATTCTAACATTCTATAATACAGTCCAAATACATTTGTAAGAAAAAAACCATTAAAAAATTATGTTAAAATAGAAGTCTTACCTTTGGTGCATGCACATAATCTGTCTGTGCCCGAACAGTATATCACAGAGACAAACATGTCTGGTTCCTCAGTGCCCTCTTTTTTGGGTGGCTCCACTTTGGCCAGAATTTCAAAGTTCGTAAGATCTAGTATTTTTACATATCCTCCCTGAGTAGTTATTACCAGGTGCCCAAGAGTAGAGATCTCGGATCTTCTCTCTCTCCCACTGCCATTTTTAGAAGTTAACTGTATTTCCTCTACAGGCTCCTCACAGTCATCTTCTCGATTATCCAATATATCTGGTGGGAGCAAAATCATTGAGGTAATTGTGTCTTGGGGGTCTTTGATATGCTGGATTTTTACTGGTTCCTCCTCTAGAGTAACTATTCTAGTAGCATAATTCATCTTATAAAGCACTAAGTATCCACCACTAACACTTCTCTGTTCAGGCTGAATTATTAAAGGAGTTGGTACATCTGCTGGTGACTCATGCTGGATTACATCAATACTCGTGCCATTCACTACAGCAAGACTTGATTCTAGTTCCCCCTTCCTTCTATTACATAGTGCCGAGTTTAATTTATTTAAATTATTCAAGGCCTCTACTTGATTTATTGCACTCAGAGATTCGACAGGACAAGTCCGCAGTCCTACTAACAGATGAACTCCATCTGCACAAGGCGTGACTGAATCTACACACAGGTTCTCCTCCTCTGCAAACTTTGGCAGACGCAGGCATTGAACCAAAGTCCCAGGCTTGGGAACCATAGAGCTCCACTTGTCCGAGTCCGGAGAAGCTAGGTTGGCTGCAGCATCTGCAAACTGCTGAATATAAGTCACAGGGGGATCCTGCAACAGCAACTGTTCCTGACTGTCCAGCTCCATTTCAATGATCTGTGGAACTGTGAAACCATCATCATGTATACTTTTACTCATAATATTGTTCATCTGTGAAAAGAGTTTTCCTGCTTTTTCATCTGACTCCTTAATGCTGTATAGCAGCAATACAGGCAAAGTCCTCCTTACCAGAGGGGAATTCAGTTCAGAATTGGTGCAGGATTCATTGTCAGTTGATCCCTGTTCCGAGACACTCTCACCTCGAGTCCTACTTAAGCCATCCAGTGACCTCTGAGAGTTACTGCTAACGGGAGAGGTAGCAGGTGATTTGTATGTTAACAGACCTCCAGCTAATAAACAAGGAAAGGGAATGTTGTGTTGTTCTAGATGTTTTTCCTTCATCTTTTCACTCTTACAGTTGGCCAAACAGGGGTTTGCCCCAAGTTCTTCTAGATCCTTAACCGTGTCTTCCAGGACATTTGCAACAATCTCCCACTGAAGTTTTTCAGGTTGTTGAAGGATGCTAAGAGCTGTTATATCAAGGCTGACTTCCATAGTTTCTTTTTGTGATGTATGCCCTTAAAACAAAAAGGTTTAACATAATAAATGTCTAAAAAAAAAAACCAAAAAAACAAACCGGAAACTTTGCATATGTCTCTGTTTGATGAAAAAAAAAAAAAAAAAAAAAATCCTTTTTACATCTTTAGTCAATTTCATAGTGTTTTTTTCACCCCACTTGTGGATCCATACTCAAAGATGTAAACTGGATGATGAGAAATAAGCATGAAATCCTCCCTCCCCTCAAAATTCCTGATTCAGACTCTAGGAAAACAACACAAGAATAACATGCACAACACTGCTTCCGTATGAAATCTTTATTCAGATGAGAAATACTCTATTAAAGTGCATACCCAGAGGGAAACAATCAAAATACTCTTTTGAGGCAGAAGCTGTTCCTCAGAGAGAGGAACTTTCTCTGGCATTCCCCTGAATTTAAAGCTGTAATTTGTTCCTAGTCTAAGTAAGTTCTTTTAACTTGGTTTATGTGTTTTACCGACAGCAAGATAAGCAATGCTTGTTGTCAAACAAGACATTCATTAACTAACAAAGTAGGGTTTTTCCTTGTCTCCTGCATGTAATCTCTCCACCACACAAACAATGACTTAAATACTGGCATCGCTTTCAAGGTCAATCTTTTTCCTTTTTTCTAATACAGTGATTATAATATCATTGATTTTGACAAGGCTTTTTTAAAAGCCTGAGAAGAAAAACTTCACTCCTGACCTTCAAACTATGAATCAGATACAACCTACCCGTCACAGATTCTGATCTGGAATGCTCTTCACTGTCTGAATCCTCCAGCAGGTCATCACTGAAAAAAAAAAATGCACGAATGACACCATGTACACTGTTACTGCATCCTTATTTTTAATTAAAGTAAAAAATATAATGTATATTATAACTTGGTATTTCTTTTAGTCCGCATTGTAAACTCTGTACACCCATTCATAAGTTGGTGACTGACACTAACAGTATAAAGATTTTTTTCTTCCACCATCAAACCAGTAGGCCAGCTTTCCATTTGCCTCATTCTAATACTGTATTCCCAAAAATTCAGATATAAATGGAATTAAAATGAAAGCCTGTTCTCAGGAATCTTTCCAAGAGTAACAAAGCCAAACAAACACAACCTTTAAAAACTGATGACACCTTCTTCAGAGTTCCTCAACATAATCTCTGAAAAGTGGAGCTGCCAGGTTGGTCTTCAGTTCTACCAGAGTGATTCTGTAGCTAGTACAGAGAGTGTGTATAAACAGTGTGCTGCTTTTAGGAATACTACCAGATGAATCATTTTTTCATGACAGCAGATTCTGTTCAAGATATCTTTTCAAGAGAAATAGGCATAGTTTTAAGAATATATGAAGATTTTACACATCTGGCTTTTCCAATATAAAAAACAACTTCCTGTTACAGGCTGTTTACACATGGGAAGAACTTTGCAGCTTCAGGTATAAGTTGGATTCCCAAATTTCAAGAACTTCCTCCTCAAGCCCAAAAAATAGATATTTTTTGGCTCAAACCTAATCAACCTTCACTTCATCATAAGACAGCAACAGTTCAATATTTAATTCTCATTCAGCTTCCCCTTGAGTGGGGAAGCGATGGTAAATTTCGTATTGGCTAAGTGAAGTGAAAGATGCTTAGTTCTGAGCAGTATGACTGCATTGACTGTATTTTTCTTTAACCAGCTCTTAAAATTGGCTTAAAATTTTTGTTCTCAAGGAGTTTAGAGCTCTGGAAGTCTAGGCCTCAGCAGCTGTTAGGCCTCCAACACTCTGATGTTGCCTACATTTCTACATACCCTTTCAGAAGGGTAAGTTTCATATCTGCTCTGCAGTACTGTAGGAATCACACCAAGCTTAAACCCAAAGATTTACTTTTCTGTGCACATAGAAGTACTGTTACTTTCCATAATGCTAAAGAAACATTCAAAAAAACTAGCAAGACTTCCCAAACACCTTCTGTCTTGAGTTTTACAGCAAAGATTCACCTTTTTGTTTGAGTTTTGGTAATAGGAGAAAGGAGTTTCCAGTAACAGTCTGTAAGAAGCATAAATGAAAGAATACTGCTTTTTCTCACATGACACTTTCTAAGCACTGGCATACCCTCTCTCTTACCTAAAAGCTTGCAACAGGACTGTCTAATTGTTTAGAGCCTGCATGCATGTGTCAAAAGCAAAAAATGAAAGCAATTCCTAGCATATCCACATAATTTATTTTCAGAATGACATAACCAGACATTATGGACAAGAAATCAGAGAATAGCATGTTCCAAAAGTTCATGGATAGCCTTTATTCTCAAACCCCAAAATGCATAATCCATAAGTAAAATTAAAAACTGTTCCAAAACTTATATTCCTTTCTCTTTATTTCCTCTGCCTGTGGAACATCAGCATAGGCAGCAATGAGATTTAGTATCTCTCTTAGTGGTGTATGAAA